GGGGAGTAAGGTAGGCAGGAAGAGAGAGAGGGAGAGGAGGAATGGGAAAGGGAAACAGACTTCCTAAATAGGTTGCATGTTCCTTGAAGTCAAGAATCCTGCTTCTGGGCGGTGCCTGTGGCTCAGTGGGTAGGGTGTTGGCCCCACATATGGAGGGTGGCGGGCTCAAACCCAGTGCCGGACAAACTGCAACAAAAAAATAGCTGGAGGTTGTAGAGGGTGCTTAGTCCTAGCTACATGGGAGGCTGAGGCAAGAGAATCACCTAAGCTCAGGAGTTGGAGGTTGCTGTGAGCTGTGACACCATGGTACTCTACCAAGGGTAGTAAAGTGAGACTCTGTGTCAAAAAACAAACAAAAAAGAAAAAACAAGAATTGTGCTTTAGAGTTGATATTACTGTGAATTTAAGTTCAGTGATAGAGTGTGATATCAAAATCTTCAGAAACAATCTCCAACTTACCAGACCAGCAACACATTGAATTTCAGTCATTGTCAGAGATCCCTGCCGGACATGCCCCATGTGGTGTAGCGGCTCATTCTCAAAAGAACTCTCCTGTCTCCAGTTTGCGTGTCACACACTTCACACTCACCGGTCCAGGTAGAGGGAGGGGACACGTGGTGGTACCTGTCTCCATGTCACAAGTGAGAAGGGACACATAGGCCGTGCTTATTGTTGTCAGTACCTGCCCTCCCATCCTTGTATGCATGTCCCAAAGTAAGCCTCCATCTCAGGGTGCTCCGTGCAACGTACCCCCGTCTCAGGGAAGCCCTCACTCTCCTCCAGGACCTGCCTTTGAACGTTAAAATACTAGCTTCCCTTTCTCCTCAGGGAAAATCCAGCTCTATTTGTGTAGGCTTCACGGAGGAAAGCCAGGGAGAAAGGTGAAATTTTCCTGTGGTTTCTAGTACTGTAGGGATGGTTAAAGGAAAAACTCAAAGTAGAGATAACTGAGGTTCTGTGCTAATTACAGAGATTTCCCTACATACGATTACCATTCTTTTATTCCACAATTATTAATTGGTAAGAATGTCATCAATAACTGCCTGTTTAAATTATTTATTTTGTTTTCATAGGATGTTATTTAGCTGTTCAGACATTTACAAATTATTTTTAGCTTTTTAGGCATTCATCTTTATTTTCTTCAAAATATGGGTCATTACTCACCCAAACCACGTGTTTACACATGAAATCTTAGACTCTCTTGAATTGAAAGCATAACTAAGATAACGTGTTGATTCTTATACAGCGGAACAATGGAAAAAATCTTATCCAAGGTGAAAACCTGAGCTTCAACAACCATACTTTTCCTTTGACAGCATTGTGTAATTTATAACACTCCATTTTCTATATGGACAATTTAAATCTGTGATTTATGGTCACATATTTGTCAACCTCAGGAATCAATAACATACTGCTAATTCTAAAATTGAAGTGTGCAAATAAATTTCACAAAAGATTCTACATTTGTAGTCCCACATTTACTGTAATACCATATAATGAAATATGTATTTCCATTTATTATTCATAGTAGAACACTGTCACAAATTTGATATGGATTAAAGCATGAAGGTATCAGATTCAAAAAAATAAATATGCTGTTTATGGTTTCACGACCAGTATCTTCGCTCTAAAGGCATATTTTATTATGAGGACGGCATCCTGACAGTGTGAGATACCAGAGTCATGTAAGGGGAATGTGAATTGAGAAAAGGGCATTGGTGTTGGTTTTTAAGGAGCAATTTAAGAAGCGCATTGAAGATTATAGAGCAGGTATATTTTAAGAAATTGGGAGTAATGAATGTTATTTTCCCCTCCCTTCCTTTCCTTCCTTCCTTCCTTCTTTCCTTCTTTCCCTGACGTCTGCCGGTAAAAAGGAAAGAGCCCAGTAGGAAGTAAGTTGCAGAGGTTGACAGGGACGCGAGTTGGACTTTCTTTCAGTGCAGAATAAGGGAATTCTATCTGTAAATAAAGGAGGAAACTTAAAAAGAAAGATTTCAAGAAGTAAGGGAGTTGTAGGCTGAGAAACAGAATGATTGCTCTCATCCTATTCCCTGCAGGGATATCTAAACTAGTAGCATAAACATGGCCAAGTGCTGAAACCAGTAGGGATTTCTAAAACACTTGAGCGAAGAGTACCGATGGCTGCAGGCCACCATCGGCCAGCATCCAGGAGGACATGAGTCCTGCCGGAGTTTCCAGTGATGCCTGCATGAGTGGCCTGGAGCCCTGGCGTGAAGCATCTGGCAAGCAGCTGCTGCCGGCTGGCCGCTTGCTCACGTCCCGCTGGGAGAACACTGCCCCCTGGTGGCTGTGCTCCATAGGACACCCTCTAAGCTCTCCATGGACAAAGTCAAAAACTGGAGACCTCTTCAGGGGAGAAGCCTCATTTTACCAACTCATTTGCTGAGGCCTGCTAGAGAAGGAACTGTTGCTGTCTGCCCACCTGTCATGGCCAGGAGAGCCTGCAGTCTAAAATGCATGAGCACTTAGGAAACACATATGGGTTCACAAATCATCACAGTAGTAATTTGAGTCATTCAGTAGGACACAGTAGCTTGAAGTCAATTTGAGAAAAGAGAGTTTAGGAATAAATGCTATGGAGTAGTTGAAAATGAATGAAAATATTATTGATGGGGAGAGGAGTGATAGAAGTGGCATTGCATGATTTCATCAGCAGAGCTTTCACTGCTTCATAGCCAGCACTTTTTCAGAAGGGATCAATTAGACATGATCAAAAGTTAACATTGCTTGGTACTTAATACTTTCATGATTCCAGAAACACTCTGATTGTAAGTCACACCCATAATTAATGTCATCCTTTATGAAATCAATATAAGGAGATCTAAAGAACGTGAATTTAGGATGATATAGTCAAGTAAAAAGTAAAAGCAAGGCTCCACACAAAAATTAATTTTCCTATAAATAAAATGGGAATAATATTATCTACTTCACAAGGTTATTTTGTGGTTAAATATATGCATATTTATATTATATGGCATGAATAGGTCAGTTCTTTTGTAGATTGCAAATACATTCAATTTTTCAATTCTACGTCGTGCCATTTGTTATTCAGTAATGTTTCACGAGATAGAACTTAACTTTTTCCTTCTTTTTATTTTTATATATTTTTTTACTTTTAGAGATGGGATGAACTTCTGTCACCCAGGCTGGAGTGTAGTGGCACAGTCATAGCTTACTGCAGCGTCAAACTTCTGGGCTCAAGGGATGTTCCTACCTCAGCCTCCTGAGGATGGGATTACAGGCCTGAGCCACCATGCATGACCCTTCTTTTAATATGAAATATTTCATACATACAAAGGAGTATTACCTAGCATATGTGTAAAATGTTTAAAAAGCCCCACATCATATATCACCTCCTCCAAGTTTAAGAAATCAAACATTTCAATATTTTTGAGAGCCAGAGTTTTGAAAATATTTCATATATGCATGTTAAGTGTGTGTGTGTGTATGTGTGTGTATTCATATATATGTAAATACACGCACCCCACGTAGAGAAGAGTAAGAGAGCACTCTTTACAAGCTTAAGTAATTAATCTGTCCATGTTGTCCATTAGATTAGATTTGTTAATTGTGCTATTCGTATTCTCTATGATTATTAATATCTGATCTATTGGATATGTATATTACAGAGAAAAGTGTGTAAAATACCCTAGTATGAATTTATCCTGGTATTTTTATTAATTTGTTTTTTACCCTGCATACTTGAACAAGAATAAAAATTGAAGTTCTTGGTCACAGAGCTGTGGTGCATTTGCCCCAGGGCAGCCGCCTGCCTCAGAGCAATGTTGACGTCTCTGAATTACTGCTCCTGTTTCATTTTTGTCCTTTGAGGATTTTGTGTACTTTCTCTCCAGCTCAACATGCATTGACAGTTCCTCTTTTCAGTATTTTACTTGAGATTGTCAGTGTTCTGTGGGACTAGGATTTTTTAGGATATTTTATCTGTGATAATTGTTTGCAATTTTTTTTTCTTAAAATAGACAAAGAAAATAAATGTGTATATTCAGCCAGCTTGTATTTGCTCCTAGTAAGGAGGCGTATGTCTTAACTATTTACTAAACTGGGCATGTCTAATACATTTCACCAAAAGGGAGGTGTCACATGCACAAATAAAAACATACAGTAAAAAAGTCTGAAGTGGTCTATGAAAGACCATATGGAATGATACGAAATTGCAAGGAAGAAAGGTTTCATTCATGTCGGTGGTCAGTGCTCTGCATATATACTGTATAGTACGACTATCTCATGAATTAGATTCCATCTTGACTGGCTCCTCTAAAAGGTATAAAACTCCTTTATTTTTGAATTTAAAAAGACAGTGAGGCCTTGGTTTTCAAACCATTCTATCTTAGTAGAAAGCATATGAGTAAATCAGGAGTTAACAACCTGGTTTATTAGCCAAATCTGGCCTCCCATCTATTTTTGCACATAGAGTTTTATGGGAATATACTTACCTTTATTAATTTTCATATTCTCTATGGCTACTGTCCTGCTACAACAGTAGAGTTGAACAGTTCCCACAGAGACTTCACGCCCCTCAAAATCTTAAGATATTTACAATCTGGCCTTGTATTGTAAAGTTTGCCAACACCTATAGTACATTACACTTTGTATTATAGAATAAGTTTAGAGGGAGACTTTTTTCTTAGCCTAACTTTCTCCTTCTTACTTATTTTTACTTAAATGGATTTGGTGGTTCACACAATAAATATTTATTCATGCAGTCTATCTGTGCTGAGAGCTTTTCTGTTTCTTTGATTAGAGATAAGTACTTGCTCCTGTTCCTGAATAATTATTTTCTTTAGTAAAAGCAGTAGGATCTTGGGCGGCACCTGTGGCTCAGTGAGTAGGGTACTGGCCTCATATACCGAGGGTGGCAGGTTTGATCCTGGCGCCAGCCAAACTGCAACAACAAAAAAAAATAGCCAGGCATTGTAGTGGGCTTCTGTAGTCCCAGCTACTCGGGAGGCTGAGGCAAGAGAATTGGTTAAGCCCAAGAGCTGGTGGTTGCTGTGAGCTGTGACACTACAGCACTCTACTGAGGGTGACAAAGTGAGACTCTGTCTCTAAAAAAAAAAAAAAGAAAAGAAATGAAAGAAAAAGAAAAAGGCAGTAGGATCTCCAATGCTGTTTGTATGGAAACTTTTGAAATGATAAATGTCCACAGTTGTTTTCTACCAATTTGATCCTAGATTAGTGTACTTAAATGATTAAAAAAAATGTATCAAGTAACTATTCAGTAAACCAAATATCCTTGCATTCATGAGATAAAATATCACATATACTCCTCTATGAAGTGATATTAGCAGGTCTTTAAATTGGGAAGGGTTTCAGAGCATAACCTGCACATGTGTTAATGTGGTCTCTTTGCTTTAATTACTGAAACCAAATAGAAAAGGTGTCAACTGAGAAAGCAGGAAGGGGATTAAGATTTTTAATGTAATCATTAAAGTTCTGCTGTTACATGTTAAAAGGAAATATAATGAAATCCCAAGATCTCAAACACTAACTTATTTCACTCTGTTTCCTGGGAGTACCAGCTCTCCACAGTCCGCTTAGATGATGAGCATCAAGCCCGAATTAACAATAGCGTCTGTGCACTCTTGTGTCTCAGGGAATACTCGAATCCAGCCCACTAGCTCTCAGATACACCGGTGACTCTGATCATCCACTTCCTAGGAGTTTTGCTGAAATGACCAATGACTACTGCCTACGCTTAGGGCAGCGCTCTCAGTTCTCATTTACAAGGTTAAGGTTAAGACATCCTGATGCTGGGGATTCACCAGGTGTCGCGGTGTCCTATTCAGAACTGCAAACAGCTCTATTTGTAGCCATTTAAGATGGAGGGATTTGAACTGATGGAGAAGGGGGGTATTCAAATCATATTAAATGTGAATGTTCTTATGGGAAATTGTTTGCCTCAACAACTTTAGCTGTCCACCTCCAGCAGTTACCAATAAAGAGTGTAGCATCCCTCGGACATTTAACCTGATGGAAATCAAGAAAAATGGGGATATGTAAAAAGCTGCATATCTGCAAGGTGACGTTTAGAACTTCCGACGTAACATGCAAGCACTAGTGAGCTCAAACAGAAGGTGTAAGCTAACATTCTCTCTACTGTATTAAATCAGACACGTGATGCCAAAAAGACAGGTAGTAGCCGGGAGTGGAGACAGAAACATTAGTTTTTCAACATTCACATTATGCTCAAATTGTAGATCAGGAAATTAATTTACTGCTGCAAACTTATTTTTGAATTGTATTCAGTATTAAACTTAGAAAATATCTGAGTAAATATTTTACAATGAAGCTAAATATTTTGTGCAATTTTTGCTGGATATAGCTGGATATAGCTGGATACGTGGATATAGCTGTAAAGCGCTGAGCTCCCAGTTGAAATATTTTGAAAGGCAGAGAGTAGATACAGGGATTCCTCTGCTGGGGACAGAGCGTGCTCATGTCCTGGGGCTGTCCGGAAAGCATCCAGCCACTTACACCTGGTGGATTCTACTGTTATAGGGTTCAGTGTTAGTGAGCCAAACCGGACTAGTGGAATTCACCCTAATCCATTGGAAGGGAAGATTCCCCAGGCAAACAGCTTTGTAGGTTTTGCTGTAGTTCAAATAGCTACGTTTCCGTTTTGTGAGAAACAGACAAAAGGGGATTAAGAACATTATCATATTCTTTACATTAGTACAGTAGAATTATTTATAGGAAAATGTGAGTGAATTTTCTTTGCAGCATAATGTAGAAGAGTTACAGTTACATGGCTAATTGTTTAATGATTACATTAAAAATCTGAATCCCCTTTTGTCTGTTGGTTCTGGGCTTTTGTCTCGCATCGTTTACTCAGTTCGCTACCATTTTCCCTCTCGCCCAGGAGATTGCACCAACAGTTCGAAAGCTACAAGGAACAAGTGAGAAAAATAGGGGAAGAAGCGCGGCGTTACCAAGGCGAGCACAAGGACGACGCTCCCACGTGTGGAATCTGCCATAAAACCAAGTTCGCGGACGGGTGCGGCCACCTCTGCTCCTACTGCCGCACCAAGTTCTGCGCGCGCTGCGGCGGCCGCGTGTCTCTGCGATCCAACAACGTGAGTGTCCGCGCGGCGGGCTGGGCGCTAGGGGGCGCGCGGGAGGCGCTCGGGGCGCGCGCGGGAAGGTCGCGCCCCCCAGCATGAGCTCATTGCATGTCAGAGGGGGCACGGTGCGTGCACGTGCACGTTATCAGGCCACCCCTCTGTTTCGTAGCAGTAGGGATAGTGGTTCCTAACGGGGTACTTTCCACGTGGGTGTATCTTGATGCATGATTCCTATTCAAGTCAGCTGTGGGTTTACTTGTAAATTTGTTTTCTGTAAATTTAGCACCTTCATGAATTGTAGAACTCTTAAAAGTTATGACCAATTCTAGTAAGAAAAAAAAGATCTAATTACTGTTAATTTCTGCTACATTGGATTTCAGATTGAACAGAGGATAAAACTGTCATATATTAAGCAGTGATTAGCCTCTGTGAGAGTAATTTCAGATTTACTAGCATGCCAAGGCTTGTCTCATAGAAATCATTTAAAGAGCATGTCAAATACACTTTTTTGAAAAATTTGAGACTTGTCTATCTCATTTTCCTTTCTATGAGATCCATATATTCGTATCTGATGCAATTTCCTTTTTTGAGTGAAATAAGAGACACTCTGCTATATGCCAGGGTTTTAAATAAATGCAATTTTTGAAGCTTTATGATGCTAATACTGTAGGATTCAATTTTATTTATGAAATACTAGAATAATTCTAATAAATACTTAATTCAAAATACATTTTAATATACATTATCATATTCTTTACATTAGTACAGTAGAATTATTTATAGGAAAATGTGAGTGAATTTTCTTTGCAGCATAATGTAGAAGAGTTACAATTACATGGCTAAAGAATCCCAGTGTTTCTCTAAAGAATTTCTTATATTATTTAATCATGGATATTGTTTAATATAATATATGCTCATGTTTAAAAGTTACATGAAACCTTAAGCCCCTTTGATATTTTTCTAATTTGGAAAGACGACAGTTAAACAAACCTCCCAAACAACATTGTATTCTTGGCAGTTTCATTGAGGTATAAGTAAGACATCCTAAAATCTCCTACAGTGGAATTAAGACACTGAGTATAATCAACATAGTTCATACTTTAAAGTGAAGCTATTATTGTCTCTGTAGCTTTAGGAAGATCATGAGCTTCTTTGAACAATAGTTTATGTATACTGAAGAAAATTTCATAACTTTTTTATGAAACTGAATAATAACCCATTACTTTGCATAGTTATGAGAATTAAATAAAATAATCAAAATCTAGCACTTAATGATATGCACATTTAATTTTTCTTTAGGTTTTAGTCTTAAGACTTCCCAAGTTTTCTTTTTCCTTCCAAAAAGTGATTTGTTAGAGTTAATCTTCATGCACCACCTTAAAGCCTCTCTGTAACAAGCTGGGCTATTAAGGTAGTACCCGACAGGTAGAAAGTACCCAAGATCTACTGGTTAATTTCCTCTTACTCAATGTTCTTAAATACATTATATTAAATTATACATATAATACATTATATGTACATATAAAACATTATATAATATTAAATATATTTTGGAATATATTCTGTCCTGGAGGTGGTTCTCAAAGTATTCAACAACCCACATGGTAAGGGCACTGTTCAGTCTGAAAGGATGCTGGCAGTGAAGAAATAGGTGCAGAGCCAGCTGAGTTTTAGTTTGGTCTAAGCACCCTTAACTATTGGATGCTTTTAACATTTCATGATAGGTTTGAGGCAAGCCAATTAAAATACAGTTAACTGTTGAGATATTAAACTCATTAGGGTCAAGCTAAGGTCCAAAAGGAGAGGATGTATAAAGCAAATTGAGCTTGGAGATACTTAGGCATTGAAGAGGAAGCTCAGGCCCATTGTAATTCATCCATCTTTACCAAACCCATCCAATCCTGGAAAAAATATTTAAAGGCACAAAATAAAGCAAAGCACGGCTTAATTTCAATTTGAGCATAAGACAAAAACATCAGATAAAGTTTGTTTTTTCTATGACATAAACCTTGAAATACGTATCACAAATTAATATTGCTGTGGAATAATTTATGACTAACACAGTTAACATACTCCCCTTCTCATTTTTATGTACTGCAAACATTTCTCATGCTTAGATTTCTAAAAAAAAAAAAGTGACTATAAGTATTTTAATTGTAATTTCATAAAATTGTGTATGTAATTTTATGCATTTTAATGAAGTATTTGCAATAATACATAAACTACATGTGGTAGTGACATAACCTTTCTTTCTGAAGACATTTTAAATGTATATTTACTAATCCAGTTCTAAAAAGTTCGGAAATTACTGTGACCAATTCTTACATCTAACATATAGCAGCACACATATGTGTGTATTTTCAATGAAGGATTGAATTATGACTATTTTTTAGGAAGAGGGAAATACTTGTGTTTTAAAGAAACAACATAATTGTTTTCATAAAACCAGTTTATTAATATGTGGCTCATTTTTGTTTTTCTCTTCTTCTTTTTCTTCTTTCTTTGCTCTGCTTCCTTGGATGCTTTCTCAAAGGAGGACAAAGTGGTTAGAATCCATGCTTTCTTTTCTATCATTTGTTATTATATTGCCGTGAACTTTGTTAAGTGAATGTTGCACAATGAAATTAAATGCCAGGAAGAGCTCCTTCCCATTCTTATGTAAAAAGAAAATAAGATGAACTTCTAGGAGCATTACAGAACTTTAAATTGATAGGTAAAGTCTGTTAATAGGGTAGATTAAATTCCTGAGGACAGTGAGGATTTAATATGATTTATATCACTGTGAGCTCATTTGTCTTCTTAGCTCTTTGAGATTTGATGTTTTTTTTCTATCTGCCTTCAGGAACAATACATTCCAGCGGTCTCTTCCTCTCTCAGAGCTTAGTGGATGCACAGGCAGATGATTTGAAACTATTGCAGAAGGAAGGGAATGTACCGATTTGGGGAGAATAGATCAAATTCAAATCAAGAAATCAAAATACAATTATTTTTCTGTAGAACACAAGTAGCAGAGTTGTCATATTGAACCAAATGTTTCCCTTTTGTCTCTAGGGCAGAGAAATAACTCCTTGGGGAAAGAAAAGGTCAGTTTTAACTCTTAGCAGCAGAAGAAACTATAGAGGGCTGTTTACACTTGGACGGATACGCTCCAAATAAAACTTTTGTTCAGTCTTTCTTTGTATACATACTATACACCTTGATCTGGTGTAAATTATAGCTTCCTTGCAGCTCATTAATCTCCCAACATGAGATTGAGTCAATGAGTATTTCAGGTTCAATATATTAACTCAGCTGCCTTTGTTCAGTATTTTTAAAGCTTAAGTGATGTACTGTAGTGTATAATTAGAAACCATGACATTAAATTGAACATTGATCTGTGTTTTTAAACTTGATGCTGGCGTGTGTTCATCAATTTGTTTTATGAAAAAGAAGTAAGGTTGAAAAATCACATAGAGTAGTCTATTTTCTCTCATTTTTTTGCTGTTGGTAGTATGTGGTATCATTTTAGGAGGTATGATTTTAATGGAATATCGTACTATATTTAAAAACTATAACTAAAGTATCACACTTGTGGTTTCATGAATATTATTATTTTGGGTGAGACTACATTTTAAGATATGGATACTTTTTAATTCTTTTAAAACATAAAAGTGTAAGTAAACAGTAATCTGAGTGCTATGTAGATTCTTTTAGGGTAGCCACGCTCATTATCCCCTTGACTGCACTTCCATGATAGTAGGTGGTTGTACTTATGGTTACCGTGAACTGAGAATACAGGTGGGTTTTGCTGTTCTTGGACTGAACACAGAGGGAAACATCTGTAAAATACAAAGGACTTTCAATTATTCTTTTCATTGCAAATAGAATTATATACAACTACCACTTTATTTTTAAGCACTCTGTCATAATGTCTTAAAAAAACCTTTTAGCCTATTAAGGTTGTTCAATGAATTGCCTTTGTACTTAAGGGAAACTGAAGCCAGATCTTGTCTCAGTTTGTTAGAGAGAATAACTGATTATTAGACAAATTACTTAATTGCCAGTTCTTTCCCTATTGCTCTGGGCTCTTTTACTTTTGGTAGAGACATTATAGTGTGTGTGTTCACGCACATGTGCGTATGTAGTGTTGGCATGTGCGAGTGGAAAGGGGAAAAAATAAGGGAAGATAAAACTTTTCTGAGAATAATCTCCATCTTGATCAATATAATAATAATGGATTTTATTTGTTCTGTTAAATTGGTGAAGAAATGTTATTAAAGTACTGGACATGAAATATTAATATGTAGTCTTAAAGAATGCTAGTTAAGAGTTATATGTTTAAAAAAGTATTGATTATAATATCATATCATCCCAGGAGGATTTTATTTTAAAATGTTACTCTTTGCCTGGATTGCATCTAATAACAACTTGGAAAATATGTATTTGCTTATAAAGAAAATGGCTTCCCTAAAGGATCACTTTGCAACGGGTATATGTAATGGTTGGCTGTAGGAAATTACCTTGCACAAGGGCACACTCTTCTTGGTCAAACTATGATTTTTTTTTTTTTACTTTATTGAAAACCCTCATCTAAATATATAGGGAGGCCACAAAAGTTCCTTAAAAAGCCTGCTTAAGTTTATCTTTGTTTAACTATCTATTTTGTAGGAGAGGGCTGCATTTAGAAGCTCCATTGATAATGTTAACCCTTTGCTGCTACTAAGCTAACTGAATTGAATCCTCAAAATTCAATTTTTTGAGTATTTACTATGAATTTTTATTAGTAATATCCCCCTCCTTGTGGTGAGGATGTTTTTTTATATATAGTGCAACTAAAAATGAATTTACCAGATTTCTAGTTCACCTATATATGTAAAAAATATTTTTTATATCAAGGTAGTAAGTAATAAGGCTTTACATTTTTAAACTCAAAATTTTTTTAACTGTCTATAACTTTCCATTGGTGTTCGTTTTTAAACATTGGGCTAAATGTGCTAAATGGCATGTGATAAAACAAACATATTTTCATAGAAAAAAACTTTAAAAATTTGGGAGTTGGCTTGGATGGGAGAGTGCCAACTGAATTTGAAAATGACCTTATCTTTAGGTATTATCTGTAGGTTGATTGATTTTTGACAGCAGTGAAAACTTTGCCCTCACAGATTATACTCTTAAATACTAACCTAATGATTTGGGGTTTTCTTCTCTTGCTAGGATTCCATAAAGGCAAGCAAGTCAGTAGAATCATAATCATTTAAAAAATGATTTGCATGATTGCATTAAATATTTATTCTTATGAAAAATCTTCTCAGAGTTATCCATATTTAGTTCATGGCATGATTAAGCATATGATCCTAATTTACAACCTTCAATCCTTTGAAAAAATGTTTGTGAGAGTTTGTTTGGACTCAGTTTTACACTTTTTTTCATAGATAGTTTGATTGATTTCTTTGACCAAAGTTATCCTAGAGGTTCTTCCCAGAAAGATAGTATAAGCCTATATAAAAAGTTTAGAAATATAGATTAATATGATAAAAAGGAAATGTTGGGATGTATCAAGAGGAAAACTTGGACAATTTGGTTGACTAGATTTCTCATTTTGTCCAGTCTGGTTTTGCTGTGTTTACTGCAGAGGGGAATAAGCCAACAAGTTGCAAAAGCTTTTCTGTGAGATAATTCAGAAAGCTGTGAAAATTTTATTACAAATTTGTTTGTGAAATTTGACACTGTTCTTCAAGAAATTTTAATCTTGTACTTAGCATTTCTAAATATTCTAAAAATGTTTGCTAATATTCAATAGACATTGAGAAGTTTATAACCTGTGTAGACTTGATTTTGCCCCCCCCATGATTTAATACAGTTATAAAATCTGTTTCTATAAATGATAAGCTGGCAAATCAATATTAAGTAAGCATCCATAGTGGGACTAAGAGCTACACAAGGGTGTAGAAAATTAGCTTTTTTGTATAATAAAATGGCTGTGGTAGACACAGCTTTCACAAAGCTACTAACTAGACTATGTAAAAACTTCCTGACTTTTTATGAACATAAATTGTCATCTCTCTTATTTACACACCTAGGAGCATAGTTTCTGGTTCATATGGATAGTCTATGTTTGACATTTTAAGGAAATTCCAAACTTTTCTCAAGTGGCTTCCCAGTAGTGAATAAGTGTTCTTTAATAATTTCTTCATATTTTTTACAACACTTGTTATTATCTTTTCACTTAATGGTCATCATGTTACATGTGAAGTGAAGTAGTATCTCTTTGGGTTTTCATAAAGCTATTTTTAAGCCAAATTTTTCAAATTAGTTGGGTATCTATGCAATGATTCACTTTGTGTGAACTTTCATTCTAGATAAAATACTTCTAACTTAGCAATTGCTTAAAACTGTTTTTTTTTTTCCTGAAACAAAAAAAAAGATTGAATTTTTTTAAAGGTTACATGTTGGATGTATTAGGTTTTAAGTTCAGTTTCTTCTCTAGGGATTCTTTATTTCCCTAAGTTAGATTAATGTAATTATTACTCTATATTAAGTCAATCAAAACAGTAGATCTGTGAGATTTACAGTAAGATAATTTGGAATCTATCTATCTGAACTACCTCTCCCTAGGGTGCAAACAAATCAGAGATTTTTTATGACCAATTAAGAAGACTCATTCTTTAACACACAAAGAGAACTGGAAGCTTCAGTTTTACCTCACAGACATACATAGGTCCAAGATTTTCACAGAAACTCAAGCCCACACTTTAAAAGGCTATGGGGTGCAATATATTGTCTCTAGTGATGTGGACTTTTAGCAGCATACAAAGAAATACACACAAAACTTAAGAACCGTATTTTCTGTCATCTGCTACCCATCTCCTAATGTCTGCCATCAAAGAGATTTTACCAACAGGCAAATTAGCTATCAATGTTGCCATTAGTAGGAAAGATATTATAGTTAATCAGCCTATTTAATCTCCTATGAGTATAATCATTTCAGATCTCTATGGTTGCTGCTTGGAAAGCATCTTTTTCCATGCTTTTATTTTCACCCTATTATCTTTGAATCCATTGTCTGTCTTCTGTAGATAGTATATATTAAAGTCTTGTGCTTTGTTTTGTTTTTATTCAGTCTTAGAATCTCTGCCTTTTTATTGCATTCTTTAATCCATTTATATTTAATGTTATTAATCACAATACTTTGTCTTCTTTTTTTTGTTTTTATATTTTATTTGTTTGTTCCTCCATTCCTTCTTTATTGCTTTCTTTTGTAATAAATGAATATTTTCTGGTCATATTTTATTTTTTTCAGTGTTCTTGTACTACATCTTCTGAACAGTTTCGGAGTTTTTAATATATGTCTTAACTTATCAGAATCTATTTCACATTTACACTACCTTAATACCAATGAGAGAAAGAATCATTAATACTGTGTATCTATATTCCCCTTTACCCTTTTCTGTGCTATTATTCTTGAATATATTAATATTATATCTGTATGTATTACAAACTCAAAAATATGTTGTTATAATTATTAGTTTATATATTTAGCTGAGAAAAGAAATGAGAACAATTCTA